TCCTTGTGCCTCTAGCCACTTTGGATCAAATGACCGTTTCTAGGAAAGACGTAGGAGGAACGTGTCCAGACACCCGAGAAGAGTACAGCTTGAGGTATGGGCATATGGCTCAAGAAGCAGCACCACCAATGAAGACTTTCTTCAAAGCAGTGCGGTTTGGCCTGTAGAATTTGTTGCCCTGCTTGTTTGGGACTTCCCTAGCTGTTTCCCCACCCCCAGAGTTCCTCTGTTCCTCTGTGATCTGGGCTCCAGAGTTAGAATCATAGTTGTCATCTTTAGAGCTGTGGGATCTCTGAAAGATTCCTAACTTCATAGATGAGGGAACTGTACCCCAAGTCATACCAACCATCACTGACAATGCCAAAATTGAGATTCTCAAACTCTCAAGTCAGATGTCCTTCTACAATACTTCCAAGAAAGCAGCTACCATCTGCCTCCAGCTCCAGTAACATCTGAAGTAAGCAGATGGGGGGTGATCAACACAGAAGAGAAAAACCTATGGGAGGGGTCTAACTGAGCTAGGCTCAGCTCAGTGAGGAAGCACCCCACTCCCCTCCCTCAGAAGGCCATCGTGACAGACTCCCCCACCCTGCCAGGACTCTCTTGGCTGCAGCACAGAATCCTGCATGGAAGCATACTGTTCCATGATCCTTGGCTCCCTGCTGACTGAGGCAGGTTCCAGCTGATACAGATCATACTGGTGAGGTGTCCACCAGCGTGGGAATTCAGTTGAGTCAGATGGCAGATTGCAAGCTACCAAATCCAGCCCTCACTTAGGCTGACTGAGATGGGGGCTCTTAACAAATCACCCATGTCTCTATGTTCTCCTGGGAGCAAGCGAGGGAAGGGCTCACAGATGCACAACTCTTTGTAGGTGCTTATGAACAAGCTCCACAGAGGAGAAGCAAACCCAGGAAGAAGGGATTGAAAAACAGAGAGCAGGAATGGGGATCAACTATGATTCTACTTGCTCACCCAGACCCTGGAGAGAAGAAAACAATGACAGCCAGGCACATCCCTCTATCTAGTTTCAAACAAGGTCAGCCTTTGCAGCCGAGATAAAGATAATGTAGCAACCTGGAATATCCTAAAAGATGAGTAAAGAGTATGCTGCATGAAGGGAATGGTGGGTGAAGTGAGGTGCTGGGCAGAGTTTGAGACAGTTGAGAAATGAAACACATTCAGCTCATTTGGCAACCGGATAGTCACTGGTGCCAAATGAAGTTCTATAGAGGACTGAAGATGAAGAATCAATATATATATATATATATATATATATATATATATATATATATATCCTTTTTGTTGTTTGATTTTCAAGACAGGGTTTCTCTGTGTAGCTTTGGGGCCTGTCCTGGAACTAGCTCTTGTAGACCAGGCTGGCCTTGAACTCCCAGAGATCCTCCCGTCTCTACCTCCCAAGTGCTGGGATTAAAGATGTGTGCCACCATGCCCAGCCAAATAGTCTATTTTAAAAGAAAAATGATGGACAGTGAAAAAGGTCTATGATGCAGGTGTGACATTTTTGTTTTAATCTTGTGACAACTTTGGTAGGCTGTGTAGAGGTAAGCAATGGAGAACGACTGCAGAGTCCAGGAAGGGAAAAACAAAGCCTTGGGGGACTTATCAGGGCTCAGGAAATACAGAACTGGAAGTACAGGGAAGGAAATGAGGCAGGGTACACACACTGGTCAATAGGAAGAAGAGCAGGGGGCAGGAAGCCCTTGCCTTAGGCTCTCTCTTCAATGAAGCAGACAGTAAGCTCAGTCATTAGCTAATAGCAAAGATGAAGAATGTATATCAGAAAGGAGAGTAATACCAAGTTCAAGAATTCCCAATCAATACTGAGGCTGTGGCTCTGAGTCTGGTGTGCTTAGAAGCCAAAAAGGAACAGAAAGCAGGATGATGTGGAAAATGGAGAAAGTAGAAGTTAGGGAGGTTAGCAAAGTGCAAGATGCTAATCTGAACTTATGTGATGGGCCCTGGGTTCATGCTGGGAAGAGAAGGAAATCCTGGAGAAGGGTGAAAGACTGGGAGAAGGGAGATGGATACAGCCATAGAAATGGACAAAAGGAGGAGGGAATATGCACAGCAGTGAGTGGGGCTGGAGAAGAGGAGGCACGGAGCAAGGACTCAGCTCATAAGTTTAACAGTGACCAATGTGGTAAAAGCAGGGCATGGAACAGAGACCAGCTACAAAGAGGGGCCTAGATATTAAGAGGCATACAAAGACTGACAAAACTAGGGATAGGAAGCCAACATTCACTGTGTTTCCAACAATGTCACACATGGAGAAATGTCCAAGGAAGGCCTGGTGGCTGCCATTCAGCAAGGTTCCTACAGCAGGCATGTACCTGTTGCTAGAATTCAGGTGGATCAACCTACCCCATATTCTGTGAAAGAATGCTTCTAAAGTCCATACTGTATCAGTTTTTGCATTAAAATCCCCTTATGTCCACTGAAGTCATCCTACTATCACATTTCCCAGCACTTTCTCAGCACAGCCCAAAAGAAGTTTCTTGTCTTCTAGGGCTGCACACTGCAGCAAAACAACCAGAACTCATTGCATTTCCATTGCATGACTTTGTCCAGTATCAATGAGCTTAACTGACTTTATGACTGGGCCGTATGTGAATAAGTCACTGCAGGATCCAATAAAAATTTTGAAGAGCCAAAGAGCAAAACTTACTTAGTGAATAAGTATTTGGTTTTGTCTTAAATTTCTTAAACTTCCAGTTCTGTTTTTGCATGCAAAGAAAGATGACTTTAAAAACATAGTTCCAGGAAAAATCCCATGGGCTAGTCAGTGTAGGAAAGGAATGATGGCCAGGGTCTCACATCCTTGAAGGAAAAGGCATCCCTCTTTCCTATCTGCCCTGCTCACATGCCCAGAGGGAGCCTCTCAACACAGAGGGGCTCTATAGCGGAAAGGGAACAGGGGACTGCCTACCAGATCTCCAAGATCTCTGGGCCCAGAAGCTGATCCTTGTACTAACTGGACACACTCAAGCTACAAGCTGTACCAAGAAAGGGGAAGCAAGGCTTTGAACCAGGCATTTCCATGTCATGGGCACAGTCTCCAGCTGGTCCAGGAAAGGCTGTTAGGTTTCAGGCTATCATAGTGTTCAGTGGCTTTCCAGGGCCAAACACCATAAAGTATGGAATATGTGCCACAAAAGGAATCAGCAGGAATTAGAAAGGCACAAACAGAAGGAACCTTACCAGACCAATCAAAGAAAAGGATGCAAAAATCAAGAGAAATAGTCAGAGCCACAGCAAAAAGCTTTGTGAACATAAGGAGCAAAGCCTGTTTTCAAAGGTTACCTGACTAGAAAAGAACTGAATATTGAGCTGCCGGAAACTAGACAGCAGGATATGGAAGCCCATCTACTGAAGAGCTTGGCAGTGCTGCTGAATGACAAGGCAGTGGGCAGGGCTTCGATGTGAAGATGCTCCCTCAATCCAATGGGAAATGGATTGAGTTCTTTTTCTTCTCTCACAGAGAAGAAGAAAAGGTCTCTGGTAAAAAGAAGATGGCTTCCCAGCTAAGGCCCTATGAATAATCACTTAATTAAATTGCACCTCTTTGCAAAAACAAAGCCACGGCCTGAGAGTCCCCTGAAATCAGCCATGCCTCAGGACCAGGTCACTGAGATGCCATCTCCACCAACAATATAATCAAAAGTCCTTCCTCAACCAAGCCTTTGCCTAGGAAGGAGCCTGTTCCTGTATGTCTCAGAGGCTTCCTTACAAACCCTGCCTACACTGTGGAGATCCATCTACGATGTGGCCTGCAGTTCTATTGCTCTTGGCTTCCAGAATGTCTTTCTGAGTATTCTGTGAGAACCATGACTCTAGAGTTACCTCAGGGTCACTAAAGGATTCCCCTTCTCTGCCCATAGCCCAGGAATACCTCCGTTAGATCCTATCAGTCACCACTGCCTTTTCCAAGCTCCTACAAAAGAGGGTGACAGAGTGTTGGCTGATTCTGGGCTGTGAACAGCATGGCCATAGTTCTGATCTTTGGTTGTGTGAAAAAGAGAACTACAATCTTGGGCAGGAGAAGAGGCACAGCACACTGTATTGGCTGTGGGTTATTCTTGCCAGGAAACTCTGTACCTGCAGCAGACACCATCTCACACTTCTCCCAAGTAAAACTCAAGATACAGATGTCTGAATAGAGATGACCAAGGAAGAGCCACTGACACACATAATAGTCACTTTTGAGAAGGTAGGGTCTGAAGTGCTATTAGCCCAGAGTTAGGACACAGAGGGACAGACTCTGAAGCTGGCATCTTCTGGATGAAAATGAAATCTGGTCTCTGCACTGCCGCCTAGCTCAGGCAAGAGTGCCAAACCACACATAGCATTTCACAGTGACCACCCAAGTCCTACTCAGGAAAGGGGACATGAAAAGCAAATACCCTGAAAACCGTTAGAACCCAAATAGGCACAAATTGAGACCTAGGGCCTCGAGAAGCCTCCATTATTCTGCCAATGGCAGATACCTCTGTCCCAACAGGACGAGCAAAGGCAAACAGTGACAGTCTTTGGCTGTGCTGGGACAGGGAATCACAGGCCTTCCATACATCCAAATCTCGCTTCCCTTCTCGTACCCGCTTCTAAGCCAGGAGTTCAGACACACACAGTGCTCCTGAGCCCAAGGCTGCTGAGAGGAGAACAAAGTCTGCTCTCCTCAAGTGAGAGAGCTCATGAGGAAGCAAGGTCCTCCCAAGCCTTGAGAGGCATGGAACCTGTATGTCCGATTACTCTGCCAATGAGGAACCTCCCTCTTCCCTGTTTTACTGAAATCTTCTTTATGGTGGATGCACTATGGCTCCCAAATAAATGCTAGATATGCAAATGATGAAGGGAGCGCTACCCACTCAACAAGACTCATCTCACAGCCACACTCTGAAGAGGATAAGCTGAAGGATGGGGAGGGATGGTCGAGAGGGTGGGACTTCAGTCACCAGAGCGCCCCAGTCTCCTTCCAGTTCTCACACCTGCGAAATGCTGTTGGCCAGGCGAAACGACATTCTCTTTGTCTTTTCATTCTCCTGAGATAAAAGAAATTGGAATATTCAAATTTGGATTTATTAAACCGAAGGGGACCAGGGTCAGGACTGGGGTTCCCCAGTGCTGATGTATTCTACCCTGGAGATGCATCGGCAGAACTCACCAAGGGCCCTATATACGATGCACCAAGTGCCATAAATACCAGGGGTTTCTGGCCAGACCTTGGCACACAGGACACCAGCAGCACATTTTAGTGGGCTTTAACAGAATGGCTGCCGGTAGTGACACCTGCCTGTAATCCTAGCACTTGGGAAGAGGAAGTAGGAGGATTGTCACAAGTGTAAGGCCAGCCTGGTCTCTACAGTTTGTTCCAATCCAGCCTTGACTACATAGTAAGATCCTATGGCAAAAAAGAAACATGGAAAGAGGGTTTGAAGGAAGAAAGAGGGAAGGAAAAGGGCAAGGGGGAGGGACACAAGAATGGAGGAAAGCAGGGAAGGAGAGTGATCTTTCAGGTCTGCACAGATGAAAGAATCAGAAGGTCCTGAAAGTCTCTCTGTTGCAAGCAAGCCCTCTGCTTCCTTCTTAGAGCCAGGAGTTAAAAGGGTCCCTTCTTTTCTCCCTCTAGCCCAGGCAGGAATCAAGCACTGATGTCAGGTAGCTCACTTTCTATGGGCATCACAGTCTTAGTGTAGTATAACCAGTACTGAGCTGAGGGTCAGAACACCTCTCTTCACCCTAGAGGTCCCTGGGCAGGAACATGGGCCCCTCTACATTCCAGGCTTCACTGATAACTAGAGTTGGTGATCTTCATATCACCCTACCTTTCTCAAATGCTAAGGGGTTGAGAGTGATGGTTCATCAACACAACTCCATCTTGTGCTCTTCACATGATGCTCAGGTGCCCCCTTGCCAGTGCCACCACCCACCCACCCTGCCCACTGGATGGCAGCAGCTCTTTACCATATGTCGCCGCCGCCTCTTGGGCTGGATGCCTTCCTGCATGTAGGGAGGCCACGGGAAGCCCTGAGGGGTGGTACAGCCACTCTCTCCAGATAAGTCCTCGGAGTCTGAATCGTCTTGCTGGGGCTGGGCAAAGCTTTTGTCTGGGTAGATCTCCTTTAGCCAGCCCTCAAAGAATACTTCCAGACAGCGACCAGCCTCTGCAACCTCCGAGTCAGGCTGGCAAGGGGAGACAGTAGTGGTCCAACCTGTTTCTACCAGGTCATCTCCTCTATGCCCCTCCATCAGAAGGGATACAGGGAGCACAAGCCTGACTGGCCCATCTTGGAATCTCATCCTGAGAGACCTGGAGCTTGGAATATTCTCCTAGGACTCAAAACAATCCATTTGGTAGCAGCTCATAAAGTACAAGTAATCGTAGCAGATACCCACAGTTGGCCAGTTACTAGTACCTCCCCCATCCTTCTGAGTCCATGCTTAGGGCCCACATTTGGGAGAGGGCTTTTAAACCATAGCAAACCCCAGGACTCTGCTCCCAGACTCATCTGCCCCCAGCCATGACAGTCTTAGGGTCACTGTGAAATAATGAAAACAAACCCAACATACATAATTGAACTTAGCACAGTTCCAGAACATGAGGCGCACATCTGACACCACTTCCTCTGGAGTGGTGTAGTGAGCTGGGTCCTTCTTTTGCAACTTCTTCCGGATAATCGATAGGTCCATGGGCCTCTTGATAATCTGGTAATAATGTCTGGCCTTGAGGAAGGTGGAGGAGATGGAAAAAAAAAAATTAGTGCAGGAATAGCTAAGAAACGAGGAGCTGGAGAATGAGTTAGAATGTAAGTGAAAGAGTAGACAAGAGGAGGAATAAAAGTATGGGAAGAGGGAGAAGAGGTGTCACTTGCTAAGTCAGGTCTGATGCAGTAGCAGCTATGAGGGAGAGAAAGAATCAGGAGTGGCTGTGACCCCTAGGGGGTCTCCTGAGCAGAAAGGAGAGGAGAGCAGCAGGCAGAAGCATGGGGCCTCCTTACCAGGGGGCTGACTGGTTCGTGAAAGGGCAGGCTGAGGTTGTTGCAGCACAGGGACAGGATCAGCTTCTCACACTTCTGCAGAAATCACAAGAGGCAAATGACACACTGCTCTGGCTCCACCTCAGATGAGAACTAAACATGGTAACCCTGGTAACTGTCTGGCTCTAACCTCAAGGGTGTCAGCCACCTTAAGAAGGCAGCTTGGGCTCCCAGGCCAGAAAAAAATACTTCTGGACAAGGGACAATCACATAAATTTCCACAGGGCAAGTCATCAGGCATGGCTCATGCCTCCCTCCCCCCGCAACCTCCCCACTCCCTGAAGCTCGTGTATTGAAGGCTTGGTCCCAAGGGCAGGATCTTTAGAGGGTGACTTAACCATGAAGGCACAGGGATCCATCCACTCTGGACTGAGGAGAGCAGGTGAGACTTTTAAGGGGTGGCGGCTAGTGGGAGGAAGTGGTCACCCACATCCTTGCATGTATATTTTGTCCCTGGGGCCCCCTTCTCTCTTTCTGCTTTCTGACAGCCATGAGGCAAGCTCCGCCCTCCCACATGCTCCCCATTCTACTGTCTCTGCCTCACCAGAGACCCAGGGACAATGAAGCTCAGTGACCATGGAATGATACCCTCAGTCAAAATAACCTGTTCTGCTTTAAGTGGATTTTCTCAGGTATTTTGTCACAGAAATGTCACAGCTGCCTAACAAAGCCCACACTCCCAAAAGGCTTGCATCCCCCTTGAAAAACCCTAGCTTCTGTAGGTACAATGGGGCTGCCTCACATAGAAAACTCTTTTCCCAAAACCCTTCCCTACCTTCTGGTCATACATGCTCAGGCCAGGAGGTGCCCGAACTCCCGGCTGACTATAGCGAGCATTCTCACAATCGTACTCCATCTCAGGCTGCATCAGGCTGCGGCACAGGGTGCACACCCACTCTCCCCTGTACAGCAGGTAACACCATATTAGACTCCACGTCCTCCCCCAACCCTCTGCCCAAGACAGGCATAGAAAATGGGGGGGGGGGGTTGTTGAAGTAAGAAACTGTGTCCCCAGCCCTGTCTCAATGAAAGGAATGGCGTGCTAGCCACAGGCTTGAAAGAAGTAAAATAAATGAAGATGCCATGAATTCAGAATAAAACAGGAGTTAGGGAGGAGCTAGGGCTAGGTATGGGACAAATCTGTGTGTAGAAGGCACACCATTGCAGGGCCCACCAACTATCAGAACCAGACTTGGTGTCAGCCCCGGTAAGCCCACCCCGGGAGCACTGTGGGCCTGGCCAGAATGATCTGTCCCTGAAGATAAAACCCTGTTAGCCAGGGGATGGCATGACTCACCCTGGGAAGCTGAGCAAGGCTGGCACATGGCAGGAAAGGTGATACACTTTGGGGCAGCGGTCACAGCACAGCAGCTCTCCACCATTGAGGCAGACAGCACAGAAGTCCTCATTCTCTATGGGGGCTGGGGTGTACTTTTTGTTTCCAAGACTTCGGGGGATGAGTCTGTGTTCTTCAGAAGATGCACTGTCCACATCTAGTGGCCGCTGCCCAGCCAGAGATGTGACAGTGACCTTTCTTCCCCCTAGCCCTGGGCCTTGGGTGGCATCAGACAGGCTGTTCTGGCTGACCTTGGGGAAGAAGTGAGTCTGAGCAGCTGGAGCACAGTATTGACAAATGGTTGGCAGGGGTGTGGTGGGGCGGGGGAGAGACTGGCAGAGACTGAACACTTACTGTGAGGATCTCTTACTCCTGGACCACAAGCCAGACAAGTCTTAGCTCAACCCTGCTGTATCTCCCAGATGCCATGCAGCAGAGGACAAGGCTAGCTACAATCCCACTGAGGTTCACAAAAGTCCCTAAAGCAAGTATTCTAGCAGCAGCAAAGAAAAACAAGAGGCTCCTAGCCTGAACCAAGCAGAGTCAAATGGTACCTTAATGGACATGCTAGAGGACTCGGTGCCACACTCTATCACCAGCAGGACGCTCCCATCCTGGCTGTTCTTCTGGGGCTTCAGCTTAAACACAGGCATCTCTCCTGATGAGGCAGCACAGATCTTGAGCCGCTCCAGTCGCACGTAGGGAATCCTGGGATCACTACTGATGGCTCTGTGGTAAGAGAGACACTCTGAGTCACCTCATGAGCCCCAGATAGCCTCAATCTCTAAGTTAGGCTCATTCATGACCCCCCAAATGAACAGCCTCATCGGTTGACCCTCCATAGGTTATATTCTGCCTCCTACCAAGTTTAACCCAGTCAACCCTGTCAAACACTGGAAAGACCTTTGGTACCATCTGTAGTCAAAGGAGGGCTCCCTAAAGAGCAAGGACTGTTACACACAGATGCATACCTAACAATGCCTGGAACTCTCCCATAACTATGATAGGCACCCAACCACATGGATCCCACTTGAGGCCCAGCAGGTGGTGATGGCAGGTATAGACAAATTTCTGCTTCAAGTTCTTATACTTCCTGTGCCAACCTCTTAGGACAGAAAGTTGAGGGTAAGAAGGTCTGCCCAGAGTCACTACCTGACGCTTGAATTCTCTTTTGTATCCAGCTCCAGGGCTCCTTGTTCAAAATTCTCATATTCTAAGACAAAAGACAAATTAAATAGCTGTGACATACATTGTGGCAACAAATATCATTTATACCTTCTGCTTATTTCTGTTATCTGAGCTTTTGGTCATACATTGGCCACACAATTGTTACCAAGTGTGTTCATTCATGGTGGTGACAATCCTACTATGTGTCCCCTTCCTGAGAGAGGCTGAAAGCCATCAGCTTTTTGGCAAAGATTAGCACAGACAATACTCAGAGCCTGCTGAAGGAAAGGTAAGAGCTGGGTGAGGCCCTGATAGCCATCTTCTAAGAGCTCAGAAATAATCTGTTTCCAATACACTAGTGTCACCTCCTGTCATTCTCTGAAATCTCAGTTAGTGTGGAGATTCTTCTAGCATCACCCCTGAGAGCAAGAGCCTCTGCACAGCACAGTCAACACAGATGGGCAGGGAACAGTGCACAAACAGGAACTACCATTTATTAGCACTGTCCTATGTACTTTCTTTGGGCAAAACTGGCTCTAGAATTTTGATTTAATTGCATAAAATATATGGTAATATTACTTATGTAATAAGGACCAATATTTTTTCAGTTGGTCTGTCAATATAAAGAGAAAACTAGTCCATTTGTTGGTATTGTTGTTCTTGTATGTATTAAGTACCTACAAAATAGACTGATCCATTTCAAAATAAGCAATAATATCACACATGAAAAAACCCTAAGTGGTCAGTATTTGACCCTAATTTCTTGACTAAGCCTTATCAGATGAAACAAACCACTGATCAACACTGAAACAAACGACCTTAAGGGATTGGTGGGCTGGAGAGACAGCTCAGTGGGTATAGGTGCTTGCTGACAAGTCTGACATCCTGAATTCCATCCACAGGACACAAGTGGTAGAATGAGAAAAGGCAGCTCCCTAAGAAGAAACTCAGAGCCTGTCTCCAGTGGTCTAAATTCCCTTCATTATATGGCACTGCACAAATCCACATGACTGCTGAGTACATGGAAAATTCTTGCTGCTACAGAGTAAATGGCTGAGTGATTTCTCTGTAGTTGTTTGTCCCCTATTCTATGCAGTAGTTTTGTGAGTCCCATTTACTGAGGCAAATGGCAGATATCCATTTCACAACAGACAGAATTGATGTCCTAACTAGAACCATCAGACACACCTTTTCACTCACAACATTTTGCCAAGGCTAGCTCTTTTGGAGTGATTTCTTCTAGTGTGCCTACATACAAAGCCAGACTGCCCAGGATGAGTTCCATGGGGGAAGATTAGAAGTGGGCCACACTGATTGGTGCTGCCATGGTTAGGGAAGCAGAAGCATGTACATCACTTCCAAAGGACAGAAGCAAATCCAGCCTTATAAGTAGCATCCTCCAGACCAAGCCCAAGCACCTAGAGGTGCTGAGAGGCCTGCTCAAGTCTGTGGCCAACAGGAAAGGCAGCCACTTACTCACGTCTTACCTTTTGGGTCCTGGTACTGTTGTAGAGCAGTAGATGTGTTGATCACTGGCACGAGAAAAGGTTTTTTCACAGAGAGGTTAATTGGTTCCTCCAGTTCTGAGGGAATAACCAAATCCTTGGGAACATCCAGACTGGAGGCTGTGGAGACTTGTCCTATTGAGTCTGTGAAGCTAGAGCAATCCTCACTTTCCATCTGTTAAAGGTGAAAAGTCAACAAGAATCAAATCAGACTTTCTGGCCATCAGCAAAACTGCTAAGGTTAAGAAAGGGCTGCCAATGGCCAACCTTTTGCTTCACAATCAGCAAAAGTTGAATGCCACTTTCCCAAGACCTACCTTACATAGGGCATTCCCCAGGGAGGACTCGGCCCCATCCTTGGAGCCCACACTCTCTGCAGTTTGTCCAGAGCTAGGACTGGAAGTGGATCTAGTCTCCAAATGTATGTCAGAAACTGGAGGCATGCTCTGCAGAGGACAAGTGGCCAGACTCGGCACAGCCTGGGTGTGCCCAGACATTAGGCTGGGCCCAGCTTGTGAGTGGTTGCTTGCCAGGCTTGTAATGGCCTGGGAGCAATCACCCCTCAGGTTGGGCATGGACTGGAGTGTGCCACATACAAGATTTGGCACGGGTTGCAGGTGATTGACTGGGCTGGGCACAGCATGGTTTGAAACATGCATCAGGCTAGACACAGTTTGTGGTGGGCCACTCAGCAGGCTCGGAATTGTGTGGGTGGGACCAGCTGTCAGGCCGCTCACCCTGTGGATCTGTGGCTCTATGGTCCTCGCCAGCCTGGTGGATGACAGCTCCATCTCCAGAGTGTTGGAAAAGCCCATGATGCTCACTGAGGTGGAGTGCTGCAGAAAAGGGCAGGGTTAGAGTTGGGCTGTCAACTGGGAATGTAGGAAGAGAGAGGAGACCCATTCCACAAGAGCTCTGAGATTCCATTTGCCTGAATTTAGGGGCTGCCACTGGGAGCTAAGGCAGCTCATGAGGTCCTGTCCCAGTTCCCACCACCAAGGAAGCTACTAGTTTATGACCTGAGGTCCACACCTACCACCTGACCTGAGGTCCACACATGCCCCATGGGCTGTATCCCCCAGCCCTAGTCCTGTACTTAAGAAAAGCTTTAGTAGGGCTTTCTAATTTTATACGTTCAGTCTGGACTAATACTATCTGTGGCTTCCCTTCCTTCCCTTTAAGGGACTTCATGGGATACTTTCCTATATAAAGCTGGCCAGAAGTTATGAAAAACTTGAACTGTGATCTTCTTCCCTCCAAAGCATGCCAAGGTTCCAGGGGGTCTCATTCTGTCCAGGGGAACCCAGTTCAACTCCAGAGCTTGCAGCAAGCTTGCAACTTATACTAGCATTGAATGACGATTTCACCAAGGTGAAAGTCTTTTCTAGCCCTGGTATACCTGCCAAAGTCACTCCAAACCACAGGAAGGGAACTTGAGAGCAACTCTTAACATGGCCCTAGTGGTGCAGCCATCAGATGGGGTGAGACTGTCTCAAGCAGAAATCTAACTACTCAGGGTCCTGAGAAAAAGAGACTTAACACGTTACTGAAAAGGAGTTGAAAACATGGGTGATTTCGGTCATGGATTGTATACAGTTTTTCAGATTAAAGAAATAGATTTGATGGGGGTGAGAAGGCAGGAGACCAGTTTTAAATGTAACTTTCATGAATTTAGAACCTTGATAAGCCTGTACTTGAGAAAAAAGAAAGCTTGAATATATACCAGTTTGTCTACTTTTGGAAAGCAAAGGGAAAACACTTGAGCATGCAGCTATAAACTTTCATGATCAATGTCCCAAATCTGTCATTATTTCCCCCATGTGTGAAGTGTTCAAATTTCCTGAGGGCAGTAAACACTTCAATACATTCTCGGGTTTCAATATAAAGGTAATAAAGCTATTGCCTAGTAAAGAAAGATGACTTTCCTCTCCATGGATGTCATTCCTAGTCATTCAGCTTTGTAAGTCAAATGCTAGAGGGAGTAGCATAGGGGCACCCCTCCTTGCTTCCAAGCTAACAGCAGGCCCTGTAATTCAGATATACACATTACTTCCCTCTCTACAGACAGGGACAAAATGTAACCTACATTCCTATCTCCCTAGACAACAGGAGTGGCCTCCTCAGTGGAGACACTTGGAAATACACATCAGACCACACCGAGCCTTTTCATTAAACCCTGCAGTGTGCTCCACTGTCTTCAGGATGAATACAACAATCCTGAAGAGACTCCCAGGACCCAAGTGATGTGCCCTTATCCCTAGCAGCCACAAATAAAGGAACAAGCCTTCCCCATTCTCTGTGATTCAGGCCTTCAGACACTGTCTTGAGCCCCTGAAACATATCAGATGTCCCTGGCAGCCCTCACCCCCTCCAGAGTCTGCCTTCTCTGCACAGACCATTCTCATTGCTCCAGCCCTGTTCCACTTGCCCTTCAGAGCTCAGCTCCCCACTGCCAGGGTGTGTGTGTGTGTGTGTGTGTGTGTGTGTGTGTGTGTGTGTGTGTGTGTGTGTGTGTGTGTATGTGTGTGTGTGTAACATATCCCCCATGGATGCTCCCAAAGCACCAGTTCTTCAACCTTGTGGCACATCCATGATACAGTGATCAGATGCTGTTTCCTGTGAAACTAAAGTCCCTTGAAACATCAACTTAGGCCTATTTTGTTCACCCACTTTATTCCTATACCCCAGAACAGTTTCCGGGTGAATATAGGACATAATGAGCTAATCAAAATTTCAAAACAATGCTGTGGGACTGTTGATTCTACAAATGCTGAGCCGAGTAAACAGCAGCTTAGTGCCACTCACAACTGACTCTGAGTTGTCCCTAAAATCATGACTGGCTTTGGAGGGCTGCAGTTTAGCAAGAATGTATTACATGCAAAGCACTTTGCTAGGGTTTTACACATACTGCCTCAGTTAACCCTCACAGTAGCCATTAGAGGTTGTTGTGAAGGTTAAAAGATAAAATCCGTGTCAACACTTAGGATGTCTGATCTGTAAACCTGGGCTGTCCACTGTAGTATTCTGTTTCAGAACCCTTCATTATAAACAAATGAGGCTGGGAAAGTCACCTTCAGGTTTTTAATGTTTCCATAAAACATGATCTTGAATGTTTTCCATTTCTTTTTTTTATTGTATATAGAAATACAATTGGTTGTGTCGATCTTGTACCCAGATTCCTTATTAGACTCACTTTGTATTAAGTACCATTTCTTTCTCTTCTTTCATGTTTTTCTGGCTTTTTACCAATGGCTGGCCCCTTCTGCATGGGTTTGCATAGCCATCCTGGTAACATCCTGATACCAAGGATCCTTTCAGTGTTCCATTCTAAGACCTGAGGGAGCTCTTCCTAGATTTGAGTCCACATCTGACCTTCGGAACCACACTCAGGCTGGGCCTGACTCCACCCGACTCCTCTTCCCTATGTCCCACCCTCCACATAAATTTCTTCATCCTTCCTGCATCTGCTCTCCCTCCCCTTTCATCCCCCTTTACCTTCACCTTTTTCTTTTCTTTGGTGTTAATCGGTTTTTTCTCTTCTCTCCCTATCCTGTTCCGTTATTAATTATCAGCTTTTAAGGTTTATATTTGTCTAGCCTTCTCAATTTTAAAAATAGACAGTTTAGGCACTTTTTATTTATCTTCCTATGGAAAGTTGTGCTTGGTAGTTCAGTCTTTAGTAAAAAAAAAAATTCTAATTTTCTAAGTAGTGTACAGAACAAAGACCAAGAGATAGATGCTCCAACCAAAGTGAAGTAGGTATGGAGCCCTGCAAAAGAGATCAAGACCAAAATCCAACGGCTTTCTGGCCTATGGCTGAGTGTGGCTGAATCCTCCAGTGTGTCCACTTGGTTCTGCCTTGGCCTTGTCTCCTTTTTTCTGCTACTTCCAGAATATTCACTTTAGGGTCTTTTATGAGTCTCTCAGTGAGATGCAGCTAGACTTGTCCTCTGCTGTGAGGGACCCATGGGATACTGCAGGGGTGAGTTGTCCCTTAGTTGTCTTGGTTGTACTCTACCAGAGCTTTCTAAAAACCTGTAGTTCCTTATCTATAGACAGAATACCTGGTGATTAATGCATTGCACTTTTAATATCAAACAAACAAATCCTTTCAACTATATCATTCCTTCTTTTCCCCATATGACATATTTAATTTAGTTCTGGTGTTTGTTTTCTCTACCCATGACAGATACTAAGAATTACATTAATATGTAGCTGAGGGTGACCTTGAACTTCTGATCCTTCTGCCACCTCCTCTCCAGTATTGGGATTAAAGACATGCCATTAGGCTTCACTTTATAAGGTAGTTAAGGATTGAACTCAGGGTTTTATGCATGCTCCAGTAAGCTCTTGGTGAGATCCTTGATGCTAATCCAGAATCCATTTAGACCATCCAACTAATCATTTGAGTTGTTCATATAGCCAAATCAAAGAACATACCTTGTCTGAGGACATCAAGTCCCTTCTCCCAATTCCTTTTTTTCCCTTCTCCCAATTCTTACTTTATGCAATGACATATGAATTCATACAATGACAGAATAAGAAGGGAACAGGAAGACTGAGCCACAGTTTATTTTGAAGCAAGTCTGCTGGTGATCTGCTCCTATAACTTGTCTTTCTTCTCCGTGTCTATAGCCAGTCATGAGGAGACCAACACTAACAGGAGTAAAGTAGTCACAAAACCTGGGAAACTTCCTTGGGAAAAAGAACTCAAAAGCAGTGTCAAGAGCAATGGAGCCCTGACCCCATTTCTACAGGCTGTAAAAGCACAGTGACAAGGCTGGTACATTGATGGCTCAGCAGCTAAGAACACTAGTGGCTGCTCATCCAGATGACCTAGGTTTGAATCCTAGCACCCACATGGCAGCTCACAACTATCTGTAACTCTAGTCCCAGGGGATATGATGTCCTTTTCTGGCCTCTATGGTTACCAGGCATGCACATGGTAAATATATATATTGCAAAACACCTATACACATAAAATAACTCTTAAAACATGGATAAATGTGCATGTTCACACACACACACACGTATTCACAAACATGGCATTTCTGGAACCTAAATATACCATGTCAATTACTTTTGATACTTTTCTGGCTCTGTGAAATGCAGTGCCGCAGAGCGCTAAACTGAAAAGTACTTATTTCATGTGCAGGAAGAAAGTGGAGAATCAAGAGGTTTTCATGATACTCTGCTCCCAGTGCCACATGTGAGAAGAGGCTAGAGCAGGACCACAGGGTAAGAAGAGCCAGGGATGAGGAAGGGGCTGCTAAAGAGCATGCTAGGGTTGGAGGAGGACTTAGGAATGTGACCACATTGTCTGGTGACCAGTACCTCACTCACAGAAGGAGTTTCTGCCAGGGAGAAGAGAGTGCCTGCCCTCTGCAGCACCCAGTGTGGTTCAGAGGTCAAACAAGAGAAAGCAAAAGTGCATTTCCTGCCATAAAGCCTCACAAAAACATGACTTACTATGTGACCTGCTAACAGGTAACTGACATCTCAACTTCATCACCCAAAACCTTCAGATTTCATAAGGCATGTATTCTGAAGTTTGCAAGTCAAAGTAAAGTATTTTTCTAGTTCAGAAAGAGTCAAAATACCGAAATAACAAAATAAACAAAACCACACATACATTTACTGAATGTTTTAACTCAGGTCTTTGAGGATGAGGGGAGACCACCCTGAGTCTAAGAACCCATTCTTCACTTCCTTAATTAGCATGACCTCACTGACTCCTAAGTGCCCTCCTCCTCCATACTCGGATGCTGCCCCCCTTTTGTCCTTTCTTCCTCTGCCTTTCTTCTTATTTCAGTCTGTTTGTTTGTTGAGACTGGGT